TAATCCATCTGAGCTTGGGCATTTGTTGGGTTTTAGAGTCCTCAGTGTGTTTGCTATTTCTTCTTCCGTAATTGGGGAAGAGAGCCGCACTATCGCTTTGTCTTTTAGCGAGTGGAGGGGGATCCCTTTGAGATATGTCTCAATTGTCGATTGAAAATATGTAGTTTGCTGGCGTGTATCTTGGTTATGGTCCTATTGGAATGATAAATATTCTTGAAAAATCAAGGCAATACGATTGGGAGTGTCGCAGATTTGTCCATTGGATGAGGTGATTTATTTATATGTTTGGCTTAGGTCCTGTGGCAAAGCTTACGGTCTAGTAGGGTGTCTACTCTGTTGGACTTATCATAGAATAATTGTCTGGTCCACTGAATCGCCTTCTGGGAGTGTTTAGCCATATATTTTTTTTTATGGCTTGTTGGTGTAGTTTAAGCTGAGTCTTAAGTTTGGGTGTGGTCCCTTTTTTGTGTTTACCTTCTGTGTCCCTAAGAGCAAGGAGGTGTGTTTCTAGCTCCTTTAATTGTTGTTTTTATTGTATGGTTCTGTGATTAGTTTGCCCCTTGTTCCGACTTTGTGGGATGCCGAAAGGGTGCTGGCTGAGGAGACAGAGTTTGTGTTTAGAGTAAAATAGTCATTGAGGTCCTTTTAAATGACTGTTCTGATGTGGGGGTTGTGTAGCAGGGTGCGGTTTAGGCACCAGGACCACAATCTTGCTAGTTGTGGAACTGTGAATGTAAAAGAAGTGTCCACGTAGCATATACACAATTGTATTGGCTCTCAGGTCCAGGACACTCCCATACAAAATAAGACAATCCCTCCCCTATGACTGGGAGATAATTCAGTTAAAAACTGTACTAAACTCAATTATCTCTAGGCACAAAAAACACGACTTTCAAAAACACCCTGGAAGTACCCCCAAAACCCATGGAAACCTCACAAAAAAGTTACATCTCCAACATATCCAAAAATCACCCAGATCGGTTCAGGGGTTCAGGAATTTCCTGTAAGTCAAAGTTTGGCCGACCGCACGCATGGTCCCATGCTGAAAACAGTTCCAAAGAATCGCGGCTAAGTGACTCAGTGGGACCGACCAGGAACCGCAAAGTCTTCATACCAAAAATAGTTCCAGTGCATTCGCTGCTAAGCACCCTGAAGTCTATTCGCGGTTTTGGTCCAGGTGAATGGCTGCCAGGGAGCTAGTGTTCGGCTCTATGTGCACAAGTGGAAAGTGCAGAACCAGGGGGAATAAAATATGGGTCTTTAAAGTCGCTGACCTGACCCATAGTTTTTTGGCAGGAGGCTGGCAAGCAGGCCCCTCCAAAAGCCCGGGGTGAGGTTCTGTTCACCACAGAAGGGTTTTCACGTTCCCTTCTCCCTCCCCAAGCACTGTTTTCAGCGCTGCACTTGCGAGGTCTCTTAGAGTTTCGGGATAATGTTTGTAGTGTAGACCGTGTGTGGTCCCTTATGTGAGGTGTGTGTTGTGGATTAACATATCCAAATTTTTATACCTTGTTGGGGTAGTGTAGATTTGCAACCTAGGAGTGCTAACTTGGACACCATAACATTAGATTATACATACAGAAACTGAGTAACAATGTTTTATCTCTGTCCTCGGGAGCCTGGTCCGTACCTCATGGTGTCGTGTGTGTCTCAAAATTACCAGTGTAGTCCGTAGGTGTTGGGGCAGTCCATGTGGCGTGCACATCAGTTACAGCCATGGTCGTCCACAGGGAGAGGCAAGGGGGGGGGCACTTGCCCCCCTGCATTTTTAAGCTTGTTCTGCTAATTTTATTGTGAGATTGAAAATACAGTGCAATACCGGCGCCGGCATGTGTATGGAGAGAGACAGGGATAGGAAGCTGCATCTTATCCCTGCTTCTCTCTGACTGAATCCACAGAAGAGCAACACATACAGCCAGCAGAGACCAGTGAGGGATGGGGGACAGATAGCCTACAGATCAGGTAAGTGAGGCATGGGGGGGGCAGAGACAGCCTACAGATCAGGTAAGTGAGGCATGGGGGCAGGACAGCCTACAGATCAGGGGTGACATGGGTTGGGGCAGAGATAGCCTACAGATAAGTGAAGTGAGGCATATGGGGGTGGGGGGGGAGATAGCCTAGAGATCAGTGAAGTGAGGCATATGGGGGGCAGAGATAGCCTAGAGATCAGGGAAGTGAGGCATATGGGGGGCAGAGAGAGTCTACAGATCATGGAAGTGAGGCATATGGGGGGCAGAGAGATCCTACAGATCAGGGAAGTGAGGCATATGGGAGCAGAGAGAGCCTACAGATCAGGCAAGTGAGGCATGGGGGGCAGAGATGGCCTATAGATCAGGTAAGTGAGGGATGGGGGGGAGGCAGCCCATAGATCAGGTAAGTGAGGGATGGGGTGGAGACAGCCCATAGATCAGGTAAGTGAGGGATGGGGGGGAGACAGCCCATAGATCAGGTAAGTGAGGGATGGGGGAGGTAAAGTAAGCAAAGGAGCAGAAAGGAGAAGGAATAGAAATGAGCAGAAAGAGGCAGCAGAGGATCTGGAAGGGACAGCAAGGAGCACAAAAGGTAAAGTAGGAGAAGGAGCACAAAGGAACACAGATGAGCAGGAAGGGTCTGCAAGGAGCACGAAGGGTCAACAAGGAGAAGGAAGAGTCTGCAAGGAGCAGGAAGGGTCAACAAGGAGCAGGACGGGTCAGCAAGGAGCAGGAAGTAGGCATGTGCACGGGGAAAATTTTCGGTTCGGTTCGGCATTCCGAAATTCGGGATCTTCGCAATTCGGGACTTCGGCAATTCGGCACTTCAACACTTCGGAACTTCGGCAACTTTGGAACTTCGGCACTTTGACACTTCGGAAATTCGTCAACTTCGGCACTTCGGAACTTCAGCATTTCGGAATTTCAGGACTTCGGCACTTCAGGATTTCTATTGCAGCTGCTCAGTAGATAACTCCCTAATTCCCACGGTATTAGGGAGTTATCTACCAAAAGGCTGAAATACCTAAATTGGTCTTGCAGCCAAATTTACAAATACTAAGTAAAAATTACTTAGTTTTAGTACATTTTGCCCCTACTCACTATACCGCGAGTAGGGGCATGTCTAGTAAACAGTGAGCAGCCTGTGGCTGCTCACTGTTTAAAAAAATAGGGTCCCCCCCTCCTGAGCCCCCACCCGTGACGTGCAAGTGGGGTCTTTTAAACTAAAGGAGGACCTACTGTCCCCCCTGCCCCCACCCCTGAGTAGCAGGTGGGGGCCCTAAATACTAATAAGGGGGGGACCTAATGTCCTCCACCCTGGCCCCCACCCCTGAGCGGCGGGTGGGGGCCCTAAATCAGAATAAGGGGGAACTTCATGTCCTCCCCCTGGCCCCCACCCCTGAGCGGCAGGTGGGGGCCCTAAATTGGAATAAGGGGGGAGACCTGAGCGGTGGGTGGGGGCCCTAAATACTCATAAGGGGAGACCTAATGTCCTCCCCCCTGGCCCCCACCCCTGAGCGGTGGGTGGGGGCCCTAAATACTTATAAGGGGGGGACCTAATGTCCTCCCCCTGGCCCCCACCCCTGAGTGGCGGGTGGGGGCCCTAAATACCAAATGGGGGGGACCTATTGTCTCCCCCCCCCCGGGTCCCCACCCCAATCCCTCTACCTACCCCAAGGTACTTTAACTAAGTACCTGTAAAAAAATAAATAAAACTTACCATTCGATGTTTTCTTTCTTCTAAAATCTTATTTTTTCAGCCCCAAAAAAGGGCAAATAAAAAAACATAATAACCGACACAATAAAAAAAAAACGAGCGCAAAAAAAATA